CTTTATTACAATGATAAACAAAATATACAAGTGATATCAAAAGGCACAACTGGGTTCAAACTTAAGATAAAAATCTCTATGGCAAGTGATATTTATCCTAGGAACTCAAGAATGGTTCAATATAAGAAAATCAATGATTTATTTATCCTCTGAGTTTCCAAATAGTTGACTAACTCTTATTCACGGACTAAATCAATGGTCCAACACTGCACGCAAGGCCATGGTGTTTGAAATATGTCTGGACATCCCTGAGAGTCTAGCACACATCTACCCAAGAAAAAACTATAAAAATTGGTTTGGTACTGCTTATTATACCATTTACCAGATTGAAAATGGCAGAATAAAAATGTTTGCATCTCTTATCTAAGAATTAACATTAAAAATAGTCTCTTTGGTCAAAAATATCAATAAAATCTTCAAAGAAAAATTGGATATCAACAATATCCAGAAATACATTATGAAATTTCACTCATAATGTATGCAAGAGAAGAAGAAAGAAGGTAAAAGGGAAAGAGAGAAGGGAGAAAAGGAAAAACAAAGGAAAGAAAAAGAATGAGAAGCGCAGGGGGAAAGAATGGAGTATTTTTTAAGTGTGGCATCAACATCAAGTGAAAAGTGACAGGTATGACTATAGTAGCAAATCTACCAGATATTTTCAACAAGATATATATACACTACAAAATCATGGGTCATATTAGCATGCTATTAAGTTGACAGAAACAATCTCTTGAAGGGCCATTGCTCAATTTTATTTTATATATTTAGAAAATGACCATTTTATATTCCCTATTACAGGGCCTGGTACATACAAGTAGCAAATGCTTGTTGAAGGATCAACTAGATGAATAGATGGCTGACTGAAAACAAACAAATGGGTAGAAGGAAAAATGATAAATACTCAAAATAAGAAAGTTTTCAAATATTCAATAATGGAGAAGAATTCCTGCTTCTCCATTTTAAAATGCTAATCTAATTAGGGGGAACACGTGAGAGGTAGCACAGCACAATATGAAGGAGAACACTATTTAGGCTCAGAAAGACCTAGGTTAAAATCCTAGCTCAACTCTTACTGGCTTGTGTCCTTGAGTAAATTGCTTAATTTACATAAGACTTAGTTTCCTCCACCTATGAAACAGGGATCACAATATCTACCTTACAAAGACATCAAACTAGCACTTTTGGCACCTGGAACAAACTACCCAAAACCAGCTCTCAAATCAACTCTGTAATTCATAATGTAGCCCACAGATGGGTGTTACTAACAATGCTCACCATCTGGTAGCTTCCTGTTTTAAATAATTATTCTTGCTAACTAGGTGCCAAGCTTTTAGAATCATTACATTAAATGTTTCACCCTCTAAATTTTGGTGTCCTTAGACAAAGTCCAGTATGGCCAGTCACAGTTCAACTTATGGGGTTGTTATGAAGATTAAAAATAATATAAGAAAAATATCTTGTACAGTGACAGGCATGTAATAAATTGTTATTACATAAACATTTTATTAATACCTCTATGTAATCCACATACCACTCTATATTATCACAACTACTCCAATAAGCCCACACAGAGATTAATCATATCAGCCACTTTCAGTAATATATAAACAAGATGGACAGGAAAGGGTGACATATATTGCAACACTCTTTTCAAAAATTCAAGTTGATTCCTTCCACTCTGACTTTTGGATTTTCTCTCTTAAATCCATAAAGACCTGAGAATTTAGAAGAGAGACAGTACTTTCACTTCCAAGAGCCATTTCTGAAAGGGAGTAAGTAAAGTGTCAGGTTCAAAGAGAATTCAAAGTTACCACTACCAGGGTACACTTATTCTCCGCTGGATAGGCAAACAGAGCTGTTGCTATTGTGTTTTGCATGTGGTCTCAGCTGTGCAAATACCAGTTAAATAAGAAAAACATCAAGCCATCTTTATCAGACCTACTAACAACCCAGACAAACTCCTTTAGGATGAATAGTTTAGTAACAAAATAACAAAATTTGCCAACCCTAAGAATCTTTGTATAAAGCACTACTTAGCTCTGAAAGATTATATTCTCTGAATTATCAGATATCCAGAAATACTTATTTTATTATAAGACATGCTAATCCATGCCAATAAAAGTCACAAGAACAAACGTTATGAAGAGTTCAATTTAAATGATTTATAGGTTTTACTTGTTATAGAGATCTTTCACTAACAGTTTTGTCAACCTGGAACAAACCTTGTCCAAGGAAACATCTCTTCTAAGCAAAAAAGTCAAATCAAGCTCACAACTAGAGCCCCCAGTTTCCCCACAAATTGAAGGATAATATCCATACGTCTGTTAGGTGGTGACTAGTATGCTAGTACAGAATGCATGGACTGGAAGTACTGTCCCGACCTTACATTTGACACAGGGTCAAATGTCTAACTAGGAGGGCTGAAACAAAGGTTCTTTTACATATTGGTTAAAAATTAGAGTTCTATGATTGTGGTTCCCGTAGTTAGTATGAATAAAAATGGATCACATTACAAATAAACAATAAAAGACTAAAATCAGTTTAATCAGTTACTAACTTTCGGGAATTGATGTCATATTAACAACGGAAACCAATCCAGAGCAGGAATGGATATTGTGGTTTTAAAAGGACAAACATACATTAAATACAAGATACATGTTTAAATGGTAACATTCCTTAAGATAGTAGTCTAGTGGGTTTGGTATCAAGTTCTAGTGGAGAAATAATTCACCACCATAATCAGCAAAGTAACTAACCAAATGACATATTCTTTGTTATTTTCTGACATGTATCTATAATTCTCATTCTGAAGCACAGATTTTTATTTTTCTGGTGCCATCAAGTGGTAACATTATGAAATGTTCTAAGATTAAATGCGAACAACTTAGAAAAATGTCACACTGACCACCCTGATGTGTTTTATTTACGTCAATTAAACTCCAGTGATGTTTTAGCACATAATTCTCTGAAAAGAAACGGAAAAATATCAGAGCAGATTTTTTAAATAATTCATACCCATTTTAAACTCACAACTCAAGTGAGAGTTAAGGCAAAGAATAAACATGAATAGATCTTTAAGACCATAACGCTCCACCAGCAAACAAAAAACCCAACAGATAGTCGGGCGCAGTGGCTCGCGCCTGTAATCCCAGCACTTTGGGAGGCCAAAGCAGGTGGATCACCTGAGGTCAAGAGTTTGAGACCAGCCTGGCAAACATGGTGAAACCCCGTCTCTACTAAAACTACAAAAATTAGCCAGGTGTGGTGGCGCACACCTGTAGTTCCAGCAACTAAGGAGGGTGAGGCAGGAGAATTGCTTGAAATCCCAGAGGCAGAGGTTGCAGTGAGTTGACATTGCGCCACTGCACTCCAGCCTGGGTAACAGAGTGAGATTGGGTCTCAAAAAAAAAAAAAAAGAAAAGAAAAAGAAAAAAAACCCTAACATTATAAAACCGTTTGAAAAATAAAATTAGGATGAAAATGATCTTTCCATCAAAGCATGAAAACAAGGAACTTCGAAATTAGACTACCAATTAGAAGCCTTAAATGTGATAGCCTATATTATATAACAATATCAAGAGGACAAAATTAATGAGAAATGAATTTAGAATCAATTATTTGAAACTGTGTTAACAGATTCCAAATGGTTATATCAGCACTTCAGTAAGACAAAAACTAGTCAAAAAGGAAACAAGACTCCAGCTCCTCTTGTTGCTATACACACAAAACATTAATAGCTGTTTGATCCTCAGGCCCACTAAAATAGGTAGCAATTGTGAAATCTGAATTCCCAGTTGAAGATGACAAATTGAACACATTTTTTTAGCTAGTTTCCCTACTGAAACTCTATTAACATGGCAGTCAAAAAATTTATTTAAGACAAAAATCCCACACTGACAAAGAAACTAAGAAGGTAACAGCAACAAAAGTTTAGAAGATAAAAAGGTATAAAAAGTAAACATCAATACACTGCCATGGGAATATAATTTTAAAAAAAAAAGGTAGATGGATGAGAGGTTACTAAAAGGAAACTCAAGAAAGTTGCCAAATATACATGGCACGGTAAAACTCTCCAAAAATTCAAGAATTGGTGGCAATAGGAAGTGGGAATGAAAGCTGAAAACAAGAGAAATGGTCAAAATCCTGGTTAAGAAGCAGTTAGGATCCTCCATATACAGGCAGGTACACCACATTATAAAACTGAAAGTTTATACTTCAGAAATAACAAAAGGCTTCTGGACTGCAGGATACTAGGCACAGTGAGAAGTACTATAGTAAAAAGTGTTAGTAATACAGGAGACCAGTAATCTGAATGGTACTGACAAACCCAAGACCACAGAACAATCTTTTGTAAATAAAACCACTGGAACAATGCCAATATCAATCTTTGATTACTGTATCCAAAAAATCATGTAACTAAATGCAGAATGCTTCATTCTACTTCTATATAAAAAAATTAAAGGGCTAAAACAAAAGTTAATACTTCACAAGAGTAAGCTCTACATATAGACATTCAGTTACATTCAGCTCTACACGTCCCACATCACCTCCATTAATTACATGAGAATTTACAACAGCTACAAAGAACAAAACAGTAGGCAAACCCAAGAACCTTTTATGCTCTCAGTATAAAATCCATTTTATTTTGTCTTTTCAGGTCATCAAGAATTTCTGTGAATTACTCCTGAGAGAGATGAAGGCTGGTAAAACACTGCCTTATCAAGTCAGAAATGAAAGATCATTATTCATACAAGAGACTTGGAGACTTGCTGACTTCTTTTTTAATCCTGTTTTTGTGGATTAATTGATTAAAAGTAGAAAGTTAAGTACCTCCAATAATGTCTAATGTCAAGTATATATCCATATATAGGTCTTTAAAGCTTCAGTAATTTCTCATTTTCAGTATTATTTCCATAAGACTATACAGAAGATATACATATGTACTTTTCCCATATACCAACAAAAGACCATGCCAAAACATATTAATATACATAAAACCATACCTTGAACACCTTCTAGGAGTAAATCAACTCCCTTCCTATAAAAATCAGAAGCAGCTTCATAGTCATCTTCTTCTTCCTTTTTTAAAGCCAGCTTTATTAATTCTCCTGCTTTCTCCAAATAATCTCTCTTGCCAAGCTTGGGTTTTAAACTGCCAGGAAAGAGGCTACGACTTTCCCTTTCTTCTGTTTTGTTCTGTTCACTCTCAGAAGCAACAGCTCCTAGTGCTGAAGAATCCAAAGAAAGATTGAGACTAAAAGTTCTAATGGGAGAATCTTGATTGGAAGCCATTCCATCATCTAACTCAGCAAGAGAATCCACATCAACAGTAAGAGAGATCAGATCACTGTCACTGGAGAAGCCTAGAAATATGATCACAATAGTAAACAGATATTAAATTGAGAATCAGCCAAATGAATACAAACCATGCTAATTATTCATTTTTCATATTATCCAAGTCAATTTGGAAGGCTGTAATTTACTGATGGAAGTCAGTGTCTAGCAATTTGTTTCGGCTTAGTCCATTCATTTTATTCTCTCTATAGAACTCTGGAAGACAACTTCCTTGCCTTAAGCATCAAACTAAAATTGAAAACAAATCTTCATCTAGTTTGGATGCCAAAAAGAGCCTTTACCACAAGATCCTGTAAGCTATTTACAGAAAACTGTTGCCTGTACACAGAGTTGCTACAAGTAACAGCATTTTGATAAAGGAAAAAGTACTTGAATCTTAGCTCTTTTTTTTTTTTTTTTTTAAGACATCATCTTGCTATGTTGCCCAGTTGCACTCCAACTCCTGGGCTCAAACAATCCTCTCACTTCAGCCTCCATAAGCATGGGCCACCATACCCAGCTCCAGCTCTTAAAACTTACTGTGTGACAAACAGCAGGTTACTTCATAGTATTACTTACTATGTAAGACTTTAAATGAGGAATAGAATTAATGCATATAAAGCATAAGAGACTACCACTATTTTATAACTTTTATAACAATTACATAATACAGGTTGAATATCCCTCATCTGAAATGAGGGACCATAAGTGTTTCAGATTTCAGATTTTAGGTTAGGGATACTCAACCTGTAACTATATAACAATTATCCAATGTGTCATCAGAAGTGTGCTTTTTGGTAACTATCCATATCTGGAAAATGTATGCTATTTAGCATTCGTAAAAGTCAGAATTTTTAGACATTTTTGTCTTAGCCTCTTCCACAAGCTTTTGGAAAGGTATATTTGCACCTATGTTTTCAGACAAAAAACAAAGTAATAGGTGCTACCGAATTATTTAGCAGTGAATATTCCTTCTCATAGGTCATATAACAGACATCTGATAAATGAGCATAATCCACAATACATACCAAACTTTCTGCTCTCAGGACTGCCTTTCAAAATGATTGTGGATTCTAAAATGCTTTTGTTTATGTGAATTGTATCTGTGAATATTTATTAAATAACAATACTGATATTCAGAAAATACGTCTAGAAATGCATAAAATAAAGCATTAAAGCCCTGTTATATAGTAACATAATTTTTATGAAAAATAACTATATTTTTCAAAACAAAAAAAGCGGCATTGTTTTACATTTTTGCAAATCTTGTTAATGTCTGGCTTAACAGATGATAGCTAGACAATCATATCTGATCCTGCTCACAATCCATTGTCATATGTTGTTTTGGATGAAAGATATAAAGGAAATGTTACATAGATAATGTAATTGGAAAAGAAACAAGTATTAGTCTTTTCAGATAATTATGAATATGGTTCTTTGATACTACACCAAAACTCGACAATTGATAGTTTTTTTAAAGCTCGGTTGTACTGTGGAATATAAAATCCTATGAATGAAATTTCCGTTTCTGTTATATTAAAATCCATTGGTCTCTCTTGCACACTGAATAAATTTTTTACCTGTGCGTGAATTTATAACATCATACATTGGTCATCCTGAAAGTAGGGGTTCCTTTAGTTACAAAGATCTTTCAAATGTTGACAGTATATTTCATTACCCCAAAAAAACCATATGTCAACATTTCATTATCCACCAATCTCATCAGAAAATTTTTAAGTATTGGGAAACTGCCAAACCCAAAGTGGCAGACAGAGGTTATCTAAAAATCCCAATTTTGAATTGAAAACTCCAATTTTGTTATTGGCAACAAATAATATCAGTTGTTTTCCTTGAAGTGTCAGCTTACTTCACTCCATTTCAAAAAAAAAAAAAAATGTGTCAAACACACAAGTGTGAATAATGACAGTTTGGCAATTGTTCTTTCAAGCAAAATGGTGTCCCATGAAAAAAGCAGCTAGTTCAACTAAAGGCTCAAACAACTGAACAAGTACTTTTCCTCAAGACAACTATGGCAGTGCAGTATGCAGAGTGCTTTATGCGTTAATTCTCATCTTTTCACGCAGCATATTAAAAAGACAAGTAACAAGGGTTAAGATTTAACAAAATTAACAGTTTCTACTACTTAGGAAAAATTAGCATTGGTTTTATAAGCATATGTAATGAGTTCTGTTACAGTTTGGTGTCACTGTCTTGATTCATGCCCAAGCACAGCAGTTTCACCTACCATGGCTTTTGTATCATCAGGACAAATGTCAACATGGTGAAAAGGCAAAGAATGTCCCGGTATTATTACGAAAATAGTTTTGTTTTATGAACCCCCTGAAAATATCTCAGCAACACCCAGAGACCTGAAGGTCACAGTTTGAAAGCCACTGATCTAGATCATTAAATAAGACTGACAACAGGGTTATCTAAAAACTAGTTTGGAAATAACCATGAGATCTGCATCACCACTGAACATTAACTACCAAGTTTCTCAGAAAAATTAAAAAGAAAATTATTTCCTCAATATTATATACTAAATCAAAATGAAAAGTGGATTAGACTATACAATTCTAGATCAGGGATCAGCAAGATTTTTCTATAAAAGGCCAAAAAGTAAATATTTTAGGCTTTGCAGGCCATATGTGGTCTCTGTCACAACTACTCGACAATACTGTTGTGGCGCACAAGCAGCCATAGACAATATATAAATGAATAAGCACGACTGTTCTCCAGTAAAACTTCACGAACATTGAAGTGTGAATTCCTTATAATTTTCCCATCACAAAAATCACAAAATCATAGTCTTTTAATTTTTTTAATCATTTTAAAATGTAAAAACCATTCTTAGTTTGCAGGCCATACAAAAACAGGTGGCAGGCCAGACTCAGCCCATGGACCATAGTTTTGCCAACCCGTATTTTAAATTCAAATTGCTTACTTCATATCAAATAAAGTTAGTTAGGGTAAAAACATGTTACTGGCCACTAAGCTCAAATTTCTAATCAGCTTTAGATGCTGCCTTGGCACCCTGTCAATACATATCCTCATTTTCAACCTTTTTTCAAGCCCTTAGAATGTCCAAAAAGAACAAATTCTATTCCCAAAAAGCAAAAGATTTCATTAAACTGACAATCTCAAATGTGATTCATAGAACCTACAGAAAATCTTTTCAATTCTCTGACATATCAGTCATACAGACAGTACTTCATAATAAGAATCTTTTATAACAATCTACAAAGGTATTTATCTACTATCCTATGAAATATGCATAGATTTTATGAGATTTTTCTTAAATTAAAAATTTAGGAGATTTTTCTTAATTTTAGTATATGTGCTGCTGAAGCGAGCATGATTTTTCTTAATTTTAAAACATTTATGTATTTCAATGCAAACATTTCATTAAATGATGCCAGTATATAACCTAGCCCATTGAAACTGATAAACAAATAGATACGGTTGAAAAAAGTTCTAGATTATACAGCTAATCACAAAAGAAAGGAAATGCTGTATTAGAGATCTCTTTTGTCTATTCTCTGGTGTCTTGTCACTATAACCTTCACATCATCTATCACATTGTTCTTTTTCATCTTTTGCCCCATTTTCCTTTTTAACAATAACAATAACACCGAAGGGCAAGAGGGCAACGTTACATAGACTGTTTCTTGGCTTTTGACTACAACAAACTAGTACCACAGTCCTATTTCCTCTTCCCTTTCACATCATATTTTATTAGCAATGAGAATCATAATTAAATGAGATTAGATCAAAAAAGTAAGACCATTTAAAATACCTAGAGACAAAGATAGTAAAATTAAGTAAATAAACATTCTGTAGAAAATGTTTCCTTTTCAAATTCTAATTTCTTAAGTAGGTATCTTTAAAAGCAAGCAAACACACACACACATACACATACACCCCAGCAGGTAAAAAAGAGAAATTTATTTAGCCAAACCAGAAAAAGAAAAGAGAAATAAAAAGACTTCTAGTTTAACCTTTTTAAAAAGAAGACAATTTGGCAATGCATATCAAAAGCACAAAACTGCTTCTTTCTCCCAGAAATTCAGCAATTTATACCAAAACCAATCAGAGGTGTACAAAAAAGATCTACATACAAGAATGTCCATCACAAAAATCAGTAAAAATGTGGCAATAAATTCCTAATAGGAGATTATAATACCTCCTTATGATAAAATATTATATAGCTATTAAAATCATTCTATAGAATATTTAATGTTAAAGTCATGATATATTATGCAAAAACAACCAACTACAAATGAGCATGTATATTATAATTCTACTTAAAAACAAACACAGAAAAAACGCTAGAAAGATGCACTATTAACAGTGATTTTCTATGTATGGTAGGATTATAGGTAATATTCTATAACACAAAACTTAGTAATATTCTTTGTGTATGGTAAACCCTTAAGCTCAGTATCTGAAAGATATCAAAGGAGATGCATCAAGGGCCAATACTGGGAATGTATTTGAGTAAAAGAAAGTTATACAGGCATCATTTGTGAAACATAAACCTATATGGATCAACCGGCAGCTAGTGCCAAGAATTCCAAACTCAAAAAAGGAATTAGATATGAGTATAGAGACAGATCTGTTTAAAGCAGGCAAACCCCTGACATCTCTTCCTTGCCCACCATTATTCCTTTAATTCTCCTCTGGAAGTTGCACCTGGCCATGCCTGAAAAGCCTAACCCTACCCTATCTCCTCAACCATATAAGGCAACTAATCATCTTCTAGTACTCACTGATATCTTTCTCTTCCATATTTAAGCAGTTTCTAAATTTCCTTCTCAATGAAGTATTCTCCAGCCAGCTCGAGGAAGATAACATTTAGAAACTCCCTTCACCACCACAATGACTCTTATTTATAAATATATTATATGTTAAATACTCAATGCCTAGTTTATTTATATTATATCCTTAACATATCTGCTTAATACAGTGCTTGTTCAACTCCCGGAAATCACACAATTGAACATATTTTATACAAAACTATATATAAATA